CCAGCGACAGGCGGCAGAAGGGGCCGGCGCAAGCTCCGCCCCTTTTGTCCTGGGCGGGGCGGGGGTCGCCTTTCCTCCACCACTCCTCCAAGCCTTGTAGCTGCTCTAAGGCACCGTGACGATCAGCCTTTTTCTGGCTTTTTGTCCCATTTAGCGTTGGAAAGAGAGCCGCACCAACGCCAGAGGTGCCTGAAGAAAGCACCGTCTTCTCAGAAAATACAGGCTGTGGCTTATTGTAAAAGATGTGATGACAAAATTTTAGAGATACTAAGGGAAAACACTGAAATGGAGTAAAGCATTGAAGTTGGGAAAGGGATTAGTCATGAAAATTTACACTCCAGTAAGATAAAAAAGTACAGAATCAATCTGAAAAGTGAGAAGTAGAAATTTAAGAGTGGAACAGGATTAACTAAATGAGGAAGGCATTTCAAGGAGGTTGCTCAACAACAGTGAAGAGCAGTATGGGGCACTGAGAAAAACAGCACTGCAAGGAAGGCCTATAAAGATGTAACCGAATGGCAACAGAATATTCAGTTTCTCATTACAAGACAGTTAGGCTGTCACCCCACGAAATCCCACTCCAAAGTTAAAAGTTGTACTCAAAGCCCTCTACCCTCAGCTCCCCTCCCTTTTTCCTTCAGTTGCAGGTGCTCACTGTGTTCCACCTGTCTGGAGCTAAGCCACAGAAACAGTTGTCCCTTACTCGTGATGCTCAGAACTGTACCAGAGGGAAAAAGTTTGTAACAAAACTCTTGCCTTGCTGTTCACTTAAAATGATCATAGCCCATTTTTAAAAAATTCTTAAGTGCCTACTCTCCAACCGCTATCCCTGTTAATGCACGTGCTGCCATCTTCTCACCCTCACCTGGAAGCATCACACACCATTTGCTTTCCCCCTATCTCCTCTCTCCTTCCCAGGCCCTTCCTATCATCCCTCCTGCCCCCCAGGTGTGCACACCCACGTTTCTGCTTTCCTAACAGCTGATCTCAGCTGTGGGAGGGTAAACTGTGGTTGCCACATCCAGGGAAACAACTTTGAGGGAGACACCACACATCCCCTTCTCCCTCACAGTGGCAGTTTCTCCCACTAAGAATGAAGATTCACCACTTGTCTTTGTCCCTTGCAGCATGCCCTGCTCTTGCTTCTCACAACTGTACTCCTCCTCAGAGCCTCCTCTGCAACTCCACGCGCATCCCGAGAGCCATTGTTACTCTGGAACAGAAAGACACTGAGCAGGCCTCAAAAGTTTACAGCATATGTAGAAACTCAGTTTATAGGAAAGCCCAAGATGGGTTTCAGATAGCCTACAGCGGTATGTCTTCCTATTGGAAAGCACTAACACATTGTATAGTGTATAGTTAGTGTATACACTAACATATTGCATATATATAGCAATCGTATAGCTTGCTAGTAGTGCTTGAAAGACCTGTAAGATTGTTGGGCAAGAAACAGTTTCTTCACCCTTGAGAAAAACTGATACCTCAGTTAATATATCCTAATAATAAATAATATTTTGTCACTGTATTAAGATGTTACCTAGATAAGCCTTTCAGCCACAAGCCGTATGATAATTAGACCAACACACAGGGAGTTCTGGGAATAACCAACACGTATTTGTATCTGGAATCAGCAATGGTTTCATCCTTTTGAGGTCAGCAATAACAGTTATCGAATCCAAATTAACAGTGTAGTGTCAGCTAGAAAAATTACTTTTGAAGGCCATTCTCTCCTGGGTTTTTCTAATTCACATGCAGTACTTGCTATTACTCATTCTAGAAGTACTGACTACATACTGCTCCTAAGATTTTGTGAGCTCAGAGCAACAGAAAAATAGCCCAGCCTTGCAAAAATATACTCCTCCAAACACCTGGGGAAAATAAAAATTTAAATTATTTTTTTCATCATCATTGCCGTAAATGGTGAAGAAGGGAATTTTTGTGCCTGGCAATTTTTCATGACAACAGTGTACAGCTGATTCAAAGCGCTGAGAGTCAGCTCACATCTACTCCACTTAAAACCAAGCAGTTTTAAAAGAAACATAAAAATCACTCAGTATGCTGACTCATCCATTACAGCAACTTAAATATTTAAACTGCTGATACTTATCTTCACTGTGAGCCAAAGTGGATTCCATCAAAGCTGGATTTATTGCAATCTGGTTTCTGTTTACTCTTGTGCAATGAATTTGATTTGCAATTAGCTCTTTTTGTATCTGTCACTGGCTTAGTTTAAATAGCAATTCAGATCCAATTCTTGTAGGTCACAATGAGAATCAAAATCTGATTTTAAAAGTACTATGTCAAAGGACTTCCATGAAAGTATGTTTAATTTACAGTTTTCATTAAAAGCACAAACACATAGGTAAGTCATTGAAATGAACATTCACATACATAGCTGCTAAAACGAGTAACGAGCTTAGGAGGTCAAAGCCTTTGGCATCGCCTGGTCTAACACCACAATCTCAATCAGAGAATCATAGCATGGTTTGGGTTGGAAAGGACCTTAAAGATCATCTGGTCCAACCCCTTGCCATGGGCAGGGACACCTCCCACCAGACCAGGCTGCTCAAAGCCCTGTCCAGCCTGGCCTTGAGCACTTCCAGGGAGGGGGCAACTACAACTTCCCTGTACAACCTGTTCCAGTGCCTCACCACCCTCACAGTAACAAATTTCCTTCTAATATCTAATCTAAATCTACCCTCTTTCACTTTGAAACCAGTGAATCATATCCATATCACAAAGGAAAGGAGAGCAATCTTAGATCTCACTGAGTCCCCAGAAAGAAGACTGCCCATGTCACTTGATTTTTTTCTGAGCATTTTGATTGGGGCTCGACCACATGCACGTCTTGCTCCCACTTTACCACTATATAGGACGTAACTCCTGTATCTGCAAGATAGCCATTATTTCTCACCATCTTTGCAAACATGAAGAACCACTGAAGGGTACATTAATTACCTGCTAGCCCAACTGATCCACACACTGCCAGCTACCCCTGCCTCCTGACTGAATCCCAGCAGAAAGGAACTATCAGCCACAGTCAGATCCTCTCAGCTAACACCCGGCAGAGTACAGCACAAGGATCCCAGTGGCACGACCTAGGGGCAACAGATCAGTCTGTACATAATGCTGGTTTTGTACTTTTGCCACCTTAATCGCCACAAAAAGGTACATTAAAGGAAGGTGAGGTTCCCCCTATTTTCTAAAACATTACAAACATCTTGTCATTATTGTTAGCCGTAACACAAAGGCTTGAAAAACCTATAGTGTTTACCGATAAATATATTCAGTTATATTACTAGACTATATGATACTCTGACAAATAATGCTTCAATTAATCCGTTCAACCAACAAATATGAATTATGTTCTGCCTGCACGTTAAGACCTCATCTAGATGAGCAAGAGCACAAAGACCAAAAGGAGCACATGCAGCGTTACTGCCCTAAAGCAAATGCATTTACCCAGACACTGCTGGTGCTGGGGCATCTGCCAAAGGATGACGGTTGCAATCACTGCCTAGCTTTCAATTCTAAAATTCTGATAGTAGAAGTTCCCCCTCCATGGCATACCAGAGCCTGTGGGACACCTCCCTACAGACTGGCAGGGCACAGCACAACTCCCACACACATGGACAGAGCATCAGTCTGAGTCACAGCAGCATGAGTGAGGAAGGGGACCCACACAGACACTGAGGTATCCAGTGACATCTTCCCAAAGGCAAAGTCCTCTGGGAAAATCAGGCTGTGCAGGGAGCTGAGAGGTTACTAAAGATAAATACATCTTTGGCATCATGGAGATTTTTCTCATCCTTCAAGCCACGGCCCAGAAACTTTAACAGTACAGCAGTATTTCACAGTAAGTTCTTTGATGCCAATATTCTAAAATATTTAAATAGTGCAATCAATTACTTTTGAAAATTAATATTCCCTTCTCGTCTCACCTCCAAAAAGCCCTGTGACCAGGGTACAGTTTTGGCCAATCTTCCTTATTTGCTCAGATGCTTTCTGAGACCTCCTTGTGTGTTAAAAGCCAGATGCAAAAATGGACTTCAGCAGAATGTACAGTCCAAGTCCAGACACCCAAAACCCTCCCTTCGTTCCCATTTAACCTTGAAGAGATGAATGCACTTTTAAAACAATGCATGAAACCTGTCAACAATTTATAAGCTGTATGCATTTAAGTAAGAAAGGATAAAGGGCAAACTAACAGAGCACAGCAAAACTTTTACTTCTACGTTGTCTTTAGCGTGTTTTTGTTATGCCTCAGTTTCATCTTATGAAGAGATAACAGACTGTAACAGTGATTATGCTACAAAAGTGATATGTTAATTTTGACTAAAACAGAAGTAAAATGAGCTGCAAGAAGATAAATGAATTTATTTATTTATTGTTATTCACAAATAATCGAGCACCTGCAAATGTACATCAGACAACCCAATTCCTTTTAACTGGTTTAACAGTGGGCATATGGATTTTACATTTTCAGTGTATCTGAAATTTCTCTAGTGCAACAAGTTTCAGTAATAAAGTGCATTCAGAATCTTGACAAGACAGATGAATTAGTATTATCTTATTTCAATGTCAGGTTTAGCCACTTAAATAAAGAGGACTTCCACCCAAGCCTTTTAACACTTTTCTCTTCATTTTCCTTTGTGTCTGAATTAGAAGTCTCTCGGTTTTCCATCAAAGCTTCGTAAGTCTTTTGTGCTCGAACAACTTCTTTGTCTGCACTGAAGTGCACCATTTGTCTGCTCAGAAGTGGAACAACTAAATTGAAGTTGTCAATTCTTTTGTTTAACTTCCCGATATCTTCTACAAATTGCTCACAAATACGATTCCACTGTTTTTGCCTATGTGGCGTCATCGGCTCTCCAAGCTTAATTCTGGATGCCACTATACCCTTCCTTAACCGCTCAATAGTTTCCCGTATTTCCTTCTGCATCAGGATCCACTCTGGCTGGTATCCGTTGTCTATGAGAATCCTGTTCAAGTTGTGAGTCATAGGGTCGATATGTGGACAGTCTGAAAATTTCTGCAAAGGTTTTCCTTTGCCCCTGAGGTTGTCAAAGTCTCCTTTTGCCATCGATTCCTGGATGAGGTCCTCAACCAACCGTTCAACTGCCTGAGTTATTGTCACCTTTTTGCTGTGCCTCACATCTTTGGCTTTCATCAGGTCGGTCACAGCATACTGGCTTTCAAGTCTCTGCTTCCGGTACTCCAACACTTGTTCAGTAGCACGGTCTACTCGAAACTGCATGTATTGCTTTTCTCTTTGGCTTGGTGTTCCAAAACCAACCCCTTCAAAACTCAAGTAGTGTCTATGCTGTGGTGCTTTTAATTTGAACTCGTCTTCCTCCTCTTTGTTATTCTCATCAGATTTCTTTTTGGTCGTCACATCACTGAGCACGATTCTGTATGCTTCTTCTACCTTCATAAACGCTTTGGAATCAGCTGTGGCAGAACCACTGTCTGGATGGTATTTTTTGGCAAGACTTCGATATGAGTTTCTGATATCATCAAGGGAACAACCCTCCTCAAGCTCCAGAATTTTGTAAGAGTCCTTGACATTGCTTTTAGGCTTGTAACCTGACAACATTCTGTTGCCACAAATGTAGGAAAACGGCTTCAGCTTTCTTGGAACCATTGCTTGACATACCATTAAGAGATGCCCTATGTTGTTAGTCAGCATGACACAAAGCCACTTTGTATTTCTTCAGATGCAGCTACATTATAAACAGGGACCTACAAACACATTTTTATAAAAATTGTGTTAAATATGCTTTTTAAAAGAACTTGCATGATTTAACTCTTATCTTTAACTTGCTGTATTACTTAAAGCAAACCTTACAACATTTCAGAACTGTATACAATGTTCTTTTCTTTTACAGACTAATATTGAAATCTGTGTTTCTTATTAATTGCTGTTGAGGTAGAAGTATTACAATGTAAATCAAAATTAATTCACAATGTAATTTTCTCCTGGTATAGCAACAGCAGTGTAGGTTTGTTTTGCACTGCAGAATACCCAAAAGGCCAAAAACTTTTTTGCTTTTCTGCAAACTCAGTGCAATGTAAACTTGAAATACGCTTTATGTTGAACAGTACCTCTGAAACAAATATCTTTCTTTTCCTTTATACACCTACATTCAGCCATGGACTGCATTTTCTATTCACATACATCAGTGCCTCAAGATCGACTACCTGATACATTCTCAAAGGATTTCATTACAGTACCCTTTTGGTATTTTGCAGCAACAACTGAAGTAGCATTCAGATTATCGATTCCTTTAGATAAATGCTTGTATCCCAGCAGTGCTCATACCCTAGTGGCCAGTCTCCTTCATTTGTGCCAGGTAAGGTTATAGATCTGGAACTCAGAACAGATCAATAGCAGACATTTCATTCTGTCAGGTACATCAGTGCTTCTGAATTATTTTGGGAAAAAGCAAAAGGAACACTTTTAGCAAATGACAATGTAAATCAATCTTCACATAAACTCAAAAGTAGAAAAATGTCATACAAACTGGACACAAAATTTACACATCAGCCAACTTCTCTTTATTAATGAACATCCTAAGACAAATGCTGCATACATGGTGCTAAACTGTGACCTTTTGCAGATTCATCAGTAACTGCAACATATCCTTTGCTGACTTCCTTGCCAAACAAAAAACTAGGTTAAATCAAGGTTAAGTTTAAGAAATAAATATGTTCTGTATATACCAAACTGCCCTTCTGTACTAACCAGTCTGAAAAGAGAAGGGAAAGGAGATGTACTTGGGACTGGACAAAAGATTGGATCAATCCTGAATGTTTTCAGTTGATTTTGATCCAGATAAGGTATTAAATCTTGTGGTTATTATTAATATTTTTTTATTATTAGAGAACAGTGATTTCTCTCTTTCTAGGTGGTTGGCAAAGATAGCAATTTAGTTCCATATGGCCATAAAAACCCACGTTAACTACTACTTGAAGGGATGCATCAATGGATACGCTCTTGAAATTCAACGCACCGATCAGAAGCAGACTTTCCCACAGTCCTGTAGACTCGATTTTAATACATTTGTGCTTAAAAAACCCCTGTATCAAGCCGTACTCACCCTACAGCCCCGACTGGGGACAGCTGGGGGTTGGGGCGGGGGCGGG